GAAAGTACCATTAAATCATTACTTTCAAAACCAAAGACAAAATTGAGAAGTTATCTAGAAGTGGTATTTATAAATCACAATGTAATACTTGTGACGCTACCTAGATTATTAGAACCATTAGATCTCTAAAGACACGTATTAAAGAACACCTCTCTAGACCTGCAAAATCCAACTTTGACCATCACATTAAATTTAAAAACCATAACTTTTCTCCTACGTCAAACAGCAACATTTTACACAGTGTTCCAGTCAACAACTTTAAGAAAAATTAACCTATTCGAGGACCTGGAGATCCTTCGTGAGATAAACATGATTTTTTTTATACTCAAATTCACCTAAATTCTAATTACAACCCGTTACTCTTTGCCAATCACAACTAAATTAAAAATCACCAAATTACATTCAATTCGTTTAATAACAATTTAAGTAATAGTCACATTCTGTACTCATTTAGATGTTTCTACTTACAATTTTCTCTTAACACTTGTTGAATTTGTAGGTTATTAAAAGTTGAACACAACACAAATTATAAATCTGTGGACTGTCTCCTTTTGGTGCTAGCTGCAACCATCTCCATAGGGATAATGAAACTCCAACTTCGTAAAAAACAATTTATTGTGCAAAAACGTTGAACAACAACTTTTAAATTTGTACATATTTACACTAAACTTTCATTTAAAAACTACCTAAATGCCTAACACTGCATTGGGGTTCATACTTTATTTTATGTATTATTATTATTATCTTTGCTCAGAGAACTAGGTAATATATAACAGAAAAACTGTCATCGTGTTTCTAGTGAAACCCGTCTGACTTCTAACGAAGTACAAACTAATCTGATGTTTTGTGCCGTTCAAAGAAAGTGGTATTGTCTGCGTGTCCGAAACTAATTGGCCTTGACAGGTTTCGCGCTGATGCAACTTGGCGGAAGCGATTATTGTAACGTAGACATTTATTTATAGATGTTCGTAATGAACATCTGGATTCGCGAGCACAGGAACGTCTTTGATATGTTTCAAATGGTTTTGAAGCAGCACTGTCAAATTTCACTTATAAACCTAATTATTATTTTACACTGTAATTTCAAACTGATCTTCAATCATTTTATTTTATTTTATTTTTGAATTTAATTTCTGAAAAATATTTTTATTTTTTATTTCATATTATATAATTCCATTTTACTTATTTGTCACTTCAGTCTTGTTAATGATTTGAAGCCTACCTCTCCTTGATCATAATTATCATTATAATCACTGTCGTTGTCCTGTCGTAAAATAGGCAAACTAGCACACCACTGTATCGTAAAAAAGTGTCTTTACTTTACTTTGTTGTTGCCTATATGGATTTAGGTAGTAATTTGTCCAATGTCAAAATTAGGTACGCTTGTCACTTGTTGTCACCGCTATAGATGATGACTAATACTATTTTATTATAATATTACAAATAATGTTATAACTCTTTTAGGGTTTAATGGGTTCGGTATCTGTACCGTCCCTAAATGATTTTAATTTTGAATTGTACCTATTGTTGTTAACAACTCAATGATTTTATTTAATTGATTCAATGTGGAAGGTATCATAGACGTAAGTTTTATCATCTGTTAATACTCACAAAAATTTTAATTTGTAACCCTTTTTAGGACCGCCTTGATGATGGATGGCTTTGCTAAGCTGAAGCGCTCAGCCTTACTGTTATTAAAAAAAAATAATTTCTTACACACTGAAGTACTTATTTTACTTACATTTTAAAAGTTAATAGGTTTGCGGAGCAAATAAAGAAGAAGAATTACCAAACTAAGATCTTCTAGTGAGAGATAACAATCATCAGACCAACCTCGCCAAAGAAAATTACAAAAGTATAAAAACAAATATTGATTGTAAGAAAGCTCCTGGCTTTCATTTAATTACAGGAGAAATTTTAAAACAACTTTCGAAGAAAGCCACAATTAAACTTACATAGGTACCTGATTAAACTCATTCAAACTAAGATATGTTCCTAGGTTGTAGAAAGTAGCTGAAGTCATTCTGATCTTCAAACCAGGAAAACCTACAAACGAAGTTTCGTCATATCGGCCAATACCTCTATTGCCATAATATCGAAATATTTAAAAAAATGCTAATGAAAAGACTAAACCCCATCATTGAAGTAAAGAAACTAATTCCAGATTATCAGTTGGGCTTTAGAAAAAACCATTCAACTATTGATCAGATTTATATAATATCAAATACGATTGAAAAACTTTAGAAAACAAAGAAGTCTGTTGTGCTGTCTTTTTCGATGTTTGCGCAGGCTTTTGATAAAGTATGGCATGATAGCTTAAAATAGAAACTGAATATGCTACTTTTACAGCCATACTTAGAGCTACTGGATTCATACATTTAAGATAGATTCTTTATAGTAAAACAAGAGGAAGCATACTATGATATGAAAGAAAATAAAGCAAGAGTGCCACAGGGAAGCGTCTTAGGAGCCACTTTGTATCTGTTATACACTTGTGACATACCCATCTAGAAAAAGACACAATAGCTCCATTTGCCATTCTAGCGATAGGCAAAGACAAATAAACTACAAACATCAGTTTATCAAATCTGTTGATATTAATATTACTAACAAAAATGGTCAAAAATGCCAATTAACTGGAATAATAACCATATCCCTTATGCTAACTATCTTGGTATTACATTAGATGCAAGACTTCGCTGGGAGGTCCATATTAAAATGAAAAAAAAAAAAGAATTAGTAATAAAATTCAAGAAAATGTATTGGTTACTTTGTAGGCATTCCAGCCTATCTACATATCAGAAATTTTTTTAAATAAACAAGTCCTCAAACAAATTTGGACTTATGGCATTCAGCAACAATAATATTCTTATAATTAGAGATTCCAGATTCCATTGTTGATGCTTCCTGGTATATTAGAAACAGCGACCTTCATCGAGACCTTTAGATGGACATTGTTTACCAGACTTGCTAGGAGTTACTAACAACGGTTCCACCAACATGTGAACGTAAAGGGGCAATGTATATTTTTGTTACTTTACTGGATACACACATTTTTTTATTTATCTCTTTATTGATTTTTGTGATACTTTTTGTTTTTTGTTATAAATATCCGATAATAACTTAAAGATTCAAGGTATGTAATCCAAGGAAGAGGCTTGTCTACGAAGCACATTTGCATTTCTTCTTCTTTATTTTTTATTGAAAAAATTATTAAATATTATATTGTAAAATCTGTTTATTTATTTTCAGTATTAAATAATTTGGCTAGCAGTTCTGAAGAGCTGTTCATTTGCAACAGTTGCGGCATAGAGCAGAGAAGAAAACAAAAACTGGCCGAAACCATAACCTAACTTTCGGTCGGACACTATTTAAATTGTCTCCCCAATACTTCATAAACTAATAGATAACATCTCAAAATATATAGTATAAAGTTAAGTATGCCATCATAGTCATAGTTTTCTTACCGTCCTAATTGTAGAGTTACCGTTATAAATTCGTATCTACCTGTTCGAAAAGATATGAATACAACACTGTAGAAGAAACTCATCAAGTTCAATAACAAGCGTTATAATTTTTAAAATACAATGCATATTATTAAAGTTCCATTTAAAATAATATTATTAAATCTATCTGGTCAGGTACTAAAATGTATGATAATGGAATGTGAAGTTAATAGTTATGGATGTTTTGACTCAGTGGGCGGTACGTAATTAGAATATTTTGTAAGCCGTCGACTATAAGAAATATTACCTAAATTTTAAATTAAGATTTAATATTCTGGATAAATATTGTGTTATTAGGGACATTGAAAAATAATAAAAAATATTAATAACATTTATTTTTGTATTAAGTGCTGTAAAGAATTTAATAATTTTAAAAAGATCAACTGATTTATATTATATAGGTTATACTATGATTTAAGCTCAAAATTGATGTTATGTGAATTTACAAAAGAAAGAAAGAAAGAAAGAAGAAAGAAAGAAAGAAAGAAAGAAAGAAAGAAAGAAAGAAGAGAAGAAAGAAAGAAAGAAAGAAAGAAAGAAGAAAGAAAGAAAGAAAGAAAGAAAGAAAGAAAGAAAGAAAGAAAGAAAGAAAGAAAGAAAGAAAGAAAGAAAGAAAGAAAGAAAGAAAGAAAGAAAGAAAGAAAGAAAGAAAGAAAGAAAGAAGAAAGAAAGAAAAGAAAGAAAGAAAGAAAGAAAGAAAGAAAGAAAGAAAGAAAGAAAAGAAAGAAAGAAAGAAGAGAAAGAAAGAAAGAAAGAAAGAAAGAAAGAAAGAAAGAAAGAAAAAGAAAGAAAGAAAGAAAAGAAAGAAAGAAAGAAAGAAAGAAAGAAAGAAAGAAGAAGAAAGAAAGAAAGAAGAAGAGAAGGAAAGAAGAAGAGAAGCTAATTTGTTAAAAACCACCAATTTTTCTTATAACTTGGAAAATAACTGAACTAATGGCATCTGCTACGTAAAACATCCTTAAAATTGATACATATAATACTGCCATGTTAATTGAAAAGGGCCCTATCTGCAATTTTTGGCCTTTTTCAGCTGAACGTTTTATCCTATAATATACATTTATTTCTACCCTATTATTAACAGAAAAAGACGCATATTTAAATACGGCAAATATGATAGGCCTATATGTATCACTGATACGAATTTTTACTTTGAAAGGACCTAGCTGATATTGTTACAACAAAACGGCATATCTACTACTTCTCTTTGCCGATAGGCCTTTTATCTTTAATAAATAAGTGATGTAACAACCTAACCACACTTATACAGTTATTACTGGCAGTGTTGTTTACGTCGAACTGCAGTGATTTTGAAGAATTTGTTTGTTAAATTTATGAGTTAATTCCTAAAAATTGTTTACCCAACATCAGGTGAGTCGTATATTTCTTTTATTTGCAGTTTTAAATAGTTATTTTTTGTGAATTTGTATGTAAAATTTGTTTATAGAAAAACCTAACCTTACCTTTGTTATTACAGTGTACCCTGACAATTAAAAAATGGATGGTAAAGGAAAAAAATTATTAACCCTTGCACTCAATCAACAACTAAGTGCAAAAATAAAAGACTTTAAACCAAATTCTCGAAAAAAAAACAAAAATTTAACGATATTACTTATATTCCAGAAAATACTAGTTCTGAAGACGAGACTGATTTTGAAAACAGTTCAAATATAAAACAATGCGCAAATAAAAAAATAATTGTGCTAAGTGATATAACTTTAGCAGGTCCTTTTGTTAGGACCAATGTAAATTATAATCAAGAGTCATCCACGGTGCCATAATTTATTATTAATATAATATAAAATAAACTTTTGGACAATGTGTGGTAAGAATGTACCTGCAACACACTTACTAAAAAAGGTACGACCCGCAAAAGAAACAACACACTTTAAAAGTTGAAGGAAGAAAAAAGATTAAACAAAATGATGTTAAAGCAAAACATACGGTGAAACCAATTTGCAAAAATACTTGCCCTAGAAAATATAGGGAAAAGATTAATGTCACGACACGTTTATTAATCAATAAAGAATACTGGTCGTTGTCGAGACAAGAAAAAAGAAATTTTATATTAGGAAGTACTACGAGTACTAGTATTAACAGCAAAACTGCGGGGACAAGTCCTCAATGAAAGAAAACATTTCTATACTATCTAAAAAGTGACAAAGGTTTAAGGGAAAATGTATGTAAAACATTTTTTTACCGATCTTAGGCTATCGGCCTGATAATGCTAAGGCTGTTAGAAATGTTATTTGAAAATCAGATTCTACATATATGACAGCAAAACCAGATAAACGTGTTTCAAAAAATCGAAAGCGTATTGTTAATCGGGACATAATAAAGCCACATATCGAATCCTTTGGGCCACAGATATCACATTACCGTCGAGAACACGCTCCTCGTCAACGATAATTACCAAGTGATATCACGGTGAAATTTATGTACGATGATTTCCAAACAAAATTTGAAAATACTTCATTTTCCTACACCTTATACAGACAGGTAGTGGCCGACATGAACATTTCCTTTGCCAAGTTAGGCCAAGAGGAATACTGGGCATGTGACATTTTTACATTGTACATCTAGCGGCCATAAAAAAAATCCTAATTCCGTATGCCAGCACTGCAACGCTTGGAATAAACATTCTAGGAAATATAAAAGAGCGAGAGAAGAGTACCAGAAGGATGCGAAAGATCAAAATGTCAATAAAGTTACAATAACAGTAGATTTACAAAAGGTAATAGCATCTTACTTTTATTGAAATTATTGTTTATTGTTATCTTATTTTGTTTCAGGTCGTTATGTTGCCCAGATACGACACTTTCAATGATGTTATTTTTGTTCCAAGGTTTCTTGATTTTAACGAAACCGTTATGCCTTTTGGAACAGCAAATATTTTGAATTCAACTGCAGTCGTATGGCACGAGGCCCTAATAGGGCGGAAAAAGAAAAACATAATAGATACATTTTACGCATTTTTTCTCACCATTCGTGATATTGAAAACGTTACTTTGTGGCTAGATAACTGTTCGACACAAAACAAAAACTGGACCTTATATTGCTATTTGAAACTGAAACTTTTCTAAAGACTTTAAAGTTAAAATATTTCGAACCAGGACACACGTTCATGGCCGCTGATGCATTTCATCACCAAGTCGAAGCATTCCTGAAACGGAAAGGACGTGTATATGATTTGACCGATTTTATGCACAAGTCTTGCAAACGGACGAAGTAACTGGGTGCAGGTTGGTGCTCCCAAAAATAAAATACGGATTAATCTCACTTGGTATTCTTGTAGATTGTATTCACGATACTATAGTGGTTTTCCTGAGTGGGACTTCTCGGTGATCTAAGGGCTAGTGGGTACTTTTGTTAGGACCTACCGTAGTCGTACATCATGTACCGTAGGCATGGGAATCCAGGTTAGTTTGTCTATGCGGAAAGTGAATGTATTCATCATGCTTAATGTTCTATAGGTGTGTGAAAACAAGACAGAGAAAGTGATGCAGTGAACATGTACGTAACGCTAAATTCCAGTAGAAAATAGAAGAAGGTAACTTAAGGTTGAAGTTGAAAAACAAATGGATAAAGTTAATGATAAGAGGGGACATTTAATGGCGAAGTAGACGTATATCAGAGAAGTAAAAATATAGCAGTGAAGTAGAAGTAAAGTAACAGTGACACAAAATCCAGTTCTGAAAAAATATTAATATAGATATTGCATAAATCAAAATGAAAATGATGCATATATATATATATATATATATATATATATATATATATATATTTGACAGCTGATGTTGAAAGTAAATTCTCATTGATACTAACACGAGTGGAAAATAGATTCTTGTTCTCGTGCGTTTGATTTAGCGCACTTTTTATGAGACTTATTAGTGAAATATGTGCTACTTTAGAAAAGGGTCGCAAAAAAAAAATCGTTTTAATGGATGTTAAGAGTCACACCAAGTTAGAAAAAAATATGTGTGGTTTTACAGTCTGATTTTACTATATTTTACTATAATGAACTGTATAAAATAAGCTCTCTATGAGAAATGCATTGGATTTTAAAAACATTGATATCTAAGGTAGTTAAGATGAGACGAACATTCTGAAAATTAATGGGATTCTAAGGTAGAAAATAAAACTAAAACCGCAAGTGGATCGAGTCGTTCTAAAGTTATCATGCCGGCATACATACGCAATACGCATATACGATTTTTTTTGCATTGTCGGAAATGCAGAGTAAAGTGTTGATAAGTGAAAAATGATGATACCTACGAAAATTTTGTGTCGGCACGAATGCAATACTGAGGCCCGCCTCATAGGTAGCGGGGCCTTAGTAATTCGAATCGACATTACTTGATAATTTTATTTGAAGTTCGAATTATTAACCGATAATTTAGCGACTCATTTAAGATAAACGAAGAACACGAAAGTGATAGTAACACTTCATCTGAGATGTAGTTGTAATTTCAAATTTGTTACCGACGAATTCTAAAACTACAGGGTGTCCCAAAATTCCGTGTACATAGAGCTACTTTGTTTTGAGATCAAAATAAGTCGATTGAGCTAAAATTACCTATATCATAAAGTGCCTCGTTTGCCAGTAAGGAAGCTTCTAAGTTGAAAGAAAATTTTATTTTTTTTTAAATCAAAAACGCTTTGTTCGATTTTTATAAAATTTGGTATGTAGCTATTTTAATTGAAGAGCCATTGTTCAAAGCAAAAACTACCCCAACCAAAATCATGAAGGGTAAAAACCACCCTAAGCCTACCATAAATGACATCGTATTTGTTTTTTGAGGGCCGCCCCTGTTCCCCCATTTTTCTTATTAATTTCTAGCATTTTTTTGCAAAAAACATGTATCTCTCATGGCATTTGAGTAAAAAAAAATATGAAATGATGATTAGTGACTTGAATTTCTTAAGAAAACTAAGTTGGCGGTTGTCAAAGTCACTAATAAAAAATTGATAATTTTGACAGATATGGTGTAGAACTGTAAAACTACTACTCATTTTATGTAATGTATTTTTTTTTGTTTCGCTTCAATGTTCTTTTAAAGAAGTTTTTTCAAAAATTTTTTGGCTGGTATAGAGAACACATTTAATGAACAAACTGATATGTTGCTAGTGATTTCGAATCACCAGACTTTGGCTTCTATCGAGAGGCGACTTCGAGAAACTGGTCAACTGAAACCGAACAGAAATGATGCTGGACGAATTCGTCAAGCCTGAACTCCTGCTGCAGAGGCAGAAATACTTAAAATAGTTGAAAATATTCCCCGATTTAGTCCCCGATGACTGGCTCGCCAAACTAGGGTTTCAAAAAGCACATCCAAATAACTGAAAAACAACTTATTTATCCCTTTTACATTCAAAGTGTCCAGGAACTCCTACCTCCTGATTATGAGTCCCGTTTGCATTTTGTACATGTAATTCAAAAGCGCAGAGCGGCCGATACAGTTTTTTACAGAAACATTTTGTTTACAGACGAGTTATGCTTTAAACGACGCGGTATAAGATAAAATTTCTCAATGTGGAAACGCTACACAAATCCAAGATGGGCCACATCATATACTATCAACTGCATCTGTTAGTCAAGCTACAGCTGCCACGCTTCCGAGAGTCAGCAGCATTAAAATAACAATAAGGCGTGTACGAAGTAATCAGCAAGCCGCTCCGGCTTTACCTCTTCACAGAAGAGACATTGCTTTTCCAGAAGAGTATAAACTAACAAAATATGGAGAACAATTTTTACTATTTGATTCAGGAAAAATATGCAGAATAATTTTTACCATTTGATTCAGGCCCACACGAAGATCCGTTGTTAATTTTTTCAACCAGACAAAATCTGTTTCTTCTAACAAGGTCACAACACTGGTTTGCCGACGGAACTTTCAAAACTGTACCTCACCTTTGTTATCAGCTATACAGGGTGAGTCGGGAGGAGCGCACCAAACTCTAGGAGTATATTATACACGTGAAAATAATGTAAAAAACTCATGTTTTTATCCGATTTTCACTTGTTTTCAAGTTATAGCATATTAACAAATAAACAAATTTACACATAAAAATTCTATTAATCATAGCGTTCTTTCAATAAATGTTCAAAAATACCGCTATTGACTTCTAAACATTTTCTGCAACAATCACATAATTTCGAAATTAAACGTTCAGTTACTGTTCACTGAACACTGACAATTCATCAAAACGTCACAATTATCAAATGCCTTTGAGCCTTGAACATATGGCATACTTTGATTATGTTAAAATTCAGAAGTGGAAAGCTAGATGAACATTTTTAATTACGCCATAACTTGAAAACAAATGAAAATCGGATAAGAACATATGAGTTTTTTTACATTATTTTCACGTGTATAATATACTCCTAGAGTTTGGTGCGCTCCTCCCGACTCACCCTGTATACAATCCACGGATTAGATAAGAATACTGCGATTCCTTTTGTATGCGCACTATTACCTAACAAGGCAGAAGAAACCTATGTTCGGTTACTTTTAAAAGTAAAAACACTTTTGCTGAAGCTTCGCCTGCAACCATTTTAACAGGTTTTGAAAGCGATATGATAAGTGCTATAAGACAACAATATCCTGACTCAAAACATCGTGGGTGCTCTTTCCATTTCAGACAATGTATCTTTGAAAGAATCCAGTCAGACGGTTTAAAAAGAAGACACGAAAACTGACGCAAATTTTGATGTAAGGCTCCAATTATTGTCGACTTTAGCATTCGTTCCTATTGCAGACGTAGTGGAGACATTTAAAACCATTTGCGAGCAAGATTTGTTACCTGCAGAAGCCCAGTCAGTAATTGATTATTATGAAGATACCTGGATCGGGCGTCCACGAAGAGGTAGACGACGTTTTCCCTTTTTTTCACATGATCTGTGGAATTGTTATGATGGGGTACAAGAAAGTTTGCCAGTTCATCCAAACATTTGGAGATTTATTAAAGCCATTCAGCTGGAGCAGAGCTTACATGAACTTCAAAAGCATGTAGGAGGCTTGAAAGGCCTTCCTACACGTAAAAATACAGAGATTGTGCAGAGCGGATTTCAAGTCTGGTAAATAATTAATTTAAAAAAATAAACACTTCTAAAAAAAATGACAAATTGGATATTTTATTCCAAGTTCTAAACACGCCAGCGGTACGCTGCCAGGCCTAAGCCTGGGTAAAGTGTGAAGGGAACATCTAATAAAATATATATTTTATAATAATAAATTATTTAGATTTAAAATTTTACATTTTTTGGTTAATTCTCCTTTCAGGCAATTGTTCTTCGGGAAATTGTCTATTCGGTCAATTGTTCATTCGATCAATTGTGTTTCCGGAAATTGTTCGTTCATACAATTGTCCATTCGGGGAACTATTTTCGGGGAATTGTCTTTCGGGAAATTGTTTTCGGGCAATTGTCCTAGATCCTAATAAATGCACATAACGAACATGTTTACGCATATGAAAATCCACATGCCACTAAGGAGAAACATTTTCAATCAGAGTTTAAAATTATTGTATGGGTGTGTAATATTGATATTTACTTAATTGGTTCATTTAGATATGCCAGATCGTCTTTACGGTGACAGTTACTTTCATTTTCTACGTCAAGATTTGCTTCAACTGTTAGAAGACTTACCGCCCAATTAACCCCGTGATATGTTTTTGATGCACGATGGTGCACCACCTCATTTTTCCCGCATTGTGAGGGATTATTTAAACGAACAATACCATGGAAGATGGATTGGTAGAGGTCAGGATGCTCCTATTCAGTGGCCACCTCGATCACTGGAGTGTAATCCTTGTGATTGTTTTATCTGAGGCCACTTGAAAATCAAAGTTTATGAAGTTTCTATCGACAACATTGAACAATTATGGGTGGGATTTAAAATGTTGTGAATTCTATGCATTTTGAGAAGGATACACTTCAATGTCTTGCGCGAATTGAAATATGCATAAACGAAGGAGGTGGCCATATTAAATATTTATTGTAAAAAATTAATCTTTCTCTTTAAATTGTTATTTTACAGTAGATACCTATGCCTATTAACGATTTTTTTTATATTGTAATAAC